TTTGTTAAATAATGTTTTTGTGGAAAATCTAGATGTGGATCATTTATCATCAGTGTACTAGGTACTCTGTAGGGTCTTTTCTTGGGGGAGGTGGGAGATTGAACTCAGGCGATAACTCTACCACTTGAACCCACAACCTTTTTTGCTTTTAGCTGTTTTTCAGATAGGGTCTTGCACTTTTGTTGACTGGGCTGCCTCAGACCATGATCTTCCTACCTATGCCTCCTGTGTAGCTGGAATTAAAAACATATGCCACCACAACCAGCTTGTTTGTCGACATGAATCTCTCTAACTTTTTACCTGGGCTAGCTTTGAACTGCAGTCTCCCTGATCTCCGCCTCCCAAGTAGCTGGGATTATAGGCATGAGCCACCAGACCTGGTCCTCATTAGGTTCTTCAAATCTTACAACAATATTCCTTCTGTTATGCTTATTTTCAGTGTATTATTTCTTTGATATTTTTCCCCTTTGTTTTCTCTCTTTTGAAATGTCTATAAATCAGATGTTGATCTTACATTTTTTCTTATGTTCCTTTAAATTTTTTTCTTACTTCCCAGGAGATTAACTTGAATTTACCTTCCAAAAAGATTCAATTTTTCTTTTTTTTTTTTTCAATTTCTGAGAGATCTAAGAGTTCTTTCTTTATTTTTTGGTGTTTGCTTTTCAAAAGGCCTTAGTCTTTCCCATGGAGGTAATATCTTCTTTTAACTCTGAGGAAGTCATTTTGTGTGGTTAGTTAAACATTCCCAAATTTACTTTTTTATTTCCCCATTATAGGTATGTGGCTGTATCTTTATTTTCCAACACTTTGTAAATATGAGTTCAAGAATTTTTTAAAAAAATTAATAGCTCTTTTATTTTAACCATCAACTGAGATATAAAGCAAATTTGACTCCCCGAATATCAAGTGTGGTGACATTACTCATCTGATTTTTAAGTGGGCCACAATCTAATATGTGTTAACAAATGTCTTTTGTCATGGAAGAAAGTGAATCACTAATTTCAATAATTGGTTATTAGACCACTAATTCAGTAATTGGGATTTAATAATTGGGTATTAAATCCATTTGAATGTTTTCCCATCAGAACTCATTTAGAAAAAATTTCACAAAAATAGAATATAATAGATTTTTTTTGTTGATTTCTTGCTTTGACTTCCTTGAAATTAATGTCTTTGAGTTTCCATTATGATTCCCTTAGTATGGAGACTGTGTGAGTCACAGCATACATCAGTGGCCTCATTGGATGCCTACAGGAGGTCTCTTCATGAGAGGATTCATTGAAAGCCTCTGGCTTGGCAAGTTGACCGTAACATTTAGTTGTGCTTTACAATCTTGTGACTGTGGCCTTTGGAAGCCCTGGTCACATGTCGTTTTTGAATATTGTCTTTCACTGGTGCTTGAAGAAATTTGGGGAACACCTTAATTGGCAGCATTTATCAGAAGTCAGGATATACCTAGAAGAACCATTGCCTTGCACTTTGAAGGGGGCGAGAATACTCACTGAGGCTGGGTAATTGTCACTCTCTAAAGGTAGGTGGCAGTTACAAATCTGGCCACCACCTTCTTTAAATTAGGTTGCAATGAAGAAAGGAAACATGAATCTGATTTTATCCCTATTGCATTTTGTGAGAAACGAGTAGACAAATATAATTTAATAATGGTGTTTGAGAAATTTAGGATATGCTTTGAAAGGGTTTGTGGCAGTCACAAAATAATTATCCTCAATTAGCATGCAAAACTGGACAAGATGCTAAATGATCGTACATGTGACCCAACTCTTTTTGGTTTGTCACTATCCTTTTACGGAGTGAAGACCTGAGTCACTGAAGCAAAGCTCTGTCTTTACATTTTGTTCACAGCCCTTATCTGTCCAGTCCCCAGTTTGAATTGTTACAGTAAAGGAGGAAGCAGAGTAGCCAAGGCAGTGTTCCTTTGCCTTTATTTTAAAATGTGGGGAAAGAGATGAGGAGAAAATAATTTAAATCCTTACAGGTGGAGTCATCTCTGAGAGAGTTAGTTTATATTCTTGTGTTCTTTCAAGCACATAATTATTTATTGAAAGGTAACAGTTTTCTTATCAGAAACTAAAATATGAAATATTTCAATTTATATTTACATGAAATTTCATTGTAGTGAGTGGATTTAGTTATATGTGGGTGGCTATGTTATAATCATCCCAAATAAACTCTCTGGCCATAGTGTTTAAGCACAGTGTGTAAAGTAATTGGCAACCTAGAATAAAATGAAATTCTATTTTAAATATTCTGGTGTCCAGGACAAGGTGAAGAAGATTAATGCATCTAGCTTCCTGTGGTTTTTAAAGTACAATGGGTGTGACAAAACAATCTACCTGTATTACAAATGTATGAAACAAACTCATTGAAAGGCAGGACGGGCTTAAAGGTGCCGAACAAAGTTAGTAAGATGAAGGTGAAAGAAGTGAATAAGTATTTTCCTGTAATTGATAAAGTCATTTCTCATTGGAATATGAATTAACTATTCTGATGATACTGTACATGTATAATGGAATTGAATAATTAAATGGGTGCCAGATGGTAGAAGTCAGGTTTCTCACTGTTGAAGTGAAATTTTATAGATAAGCAAGCAAGAGACCCAAATGGTTTAAATTAGAATTGGAGAGGTCAGTATGAACTCAGGTTTAGTTTAGAAGACACACAGATGGTTACATATAGAAATATTTATAGATATGTATACATACATGGGTTAGTGTACACACATATATTTCCTTGCTCTTTCAGTTGAGAAATACTGGAAGCAGTGAAAATTTAGTAACAATGAACATACCTGGTACCCAGATATTGTTTTTTTTTAATTTTTAAAGTTTTATTAGCACATAATAGCAGTATAGGGGACTACATTTTGGTATTTACCCAAGTGCTTACAATATCATATACTGGTTTTTAATGCCATTCATGAATAAAAGGGGACCAGGAACCAGAGGTTCTTCGAGAACTGGTTAATTCTTGAAATGGGACAGGAAATGTACAGGATGAGCATCTTTTAATCCAGAAAGTAAGCAGGTGCTTAAAAAACAAAGCAAAATAAACAAGTAAACCCACAGTGGAGGAGATCTATCATAGGGACACAGGAATCATCTGAAAAAATTTCCAATGACTAAGTTGGAGCAATTTGAACAATATTAAGTAATCTTGGATTATAACCCAAAGTATGAAATAAATATCCATAATTGATTTAACAAATAAATATATGGGGGAGTAGAGACAACTCTCCAAAGCAGAAGAATTCTGAGTAATTTATATATACATTCTGTCCTTGGCAAGGTGTAATGTAACTCGCATTCCTTAAGTGTGTGCTGCACATAGTGAGTTTGTTTCAAAGAGCACAGAATGGAAGGGAAAATAGATTATTTACAGTTGGAAAAATGGAACACTACTCAGCCAGGTGATCAATGTCAACATCAACAGTGGTAAGTCATGTTGGTAGTATATACTTTTGACAGTATGTACTTAACATAATAAGAATGCCACTTATTCTAGTCTTCCTCCCCAAAACTTATAACCCCAGTCTAATCACTAGAAAAATGTCCAGTGGAGGGACATTTTACAAATATCTGAGCAGTACTCCTTAAAACTGTCATCAAAAACAAGAAAAGTCTGAAAAACCATCTTAGCTAAAAGCAGCATAATGGGCCGGCGGAGTGGCTCAAACAGAGCGCTGCCTAGCAAGCGTGAGGCCTGGGTTCAAACCCCAGTGCCACTAAAAAAAAAAGTAATTATAATAAAAGGAGACTAACAAGGCAAATAAATGTAATATAGTATCATGGAGGAGATTGTGTTATAGAAAATAGTATTTACTTCTCATGGTCTTTAGTTAACAGTAATGTATTAATACTGATTCATCAGTGCCCAGGCCAATGTCAAGAAGCTATTCCCCTGTGTTCTCTTTTGGTATGTTTACAGTTTCAGGTTTTATGTTTAAAACTTTAATCTATTTTGAGTTGATAGGGCTCCAAAGCTTTTGCACAGTGGAGGAAACAACAGAGTGCAGCGACAACCTATGGAATGGGAGAAAATATTTGCAAACTATACATCTGATTAGGAGTTAATTTGCAAAAGTTATAAAGAACTCAGTTCAATAAAAAGAAAACAAATAATCTGATTAAGAAATGGACAAAGGCTAGGTACCAGTGACTCATGCCTGTAATCCTTGCTACTTGGGAGACTGAGATTGGGAGGATCATGGTTCAAGATCAGACCAAGCAAATAGCTTATGAGACCCCATCTCAACCAATAGATGGGCACAGTGCATGTGCCTGTCATCCTAAACTATGTGGAGGTTGAGACTGTGAGGATTGCAGTTGTAGGCCAGCAAAAAATTTCACGAGAAAAGAACTGTGTGTAGTGTGTGGTAGAATGCACCTGTCATCCCAAGAATGGTAAGAAGTGTAAAACAGGATGGTAGTCCAGGCCAGCCTGGGCAAAAAGCAAGACTCTATGCAGAGCAAAAAGGACTGAAGGTTTGGCTCAAGTGGTAGAACACCTGCCTAGCAAATGCAAGGCCTTGAGTTCAAACCCCAAGACTGCCAAAAAAAAAAAAAAATGGACAAAGGACCTGAATAGACATTTCTCTAACAAAGACATACAAATGGCCAACAAGCTCCAGAAAATATGCTCAATATCACTTATCAGAGAAATGGAAATTCAAACTGTAGTTAAGTATCACCTCAGCCCTACCAGAATGGCTGTTTTCAAATAAACAAGATAACAAGTGTTGGCCAGGATAGAAAAGAGAACCCTTGTACCTAGCTGATAAGAATTTAAATTAGTGCAGATATTATAGAAATAGCACAGAGGCTCCCCGTAAAATTAAAAGTAGAACCATATGATCCAGCAATCCCACTACTGGTATATATCCACAGGAAATAAAATCGAGTTTACTTAGTATAGCTGTGCACCTAGGCAAGGCGCTCTTTCACTCCTTCGGAGTGCCTGGTTTGGCCTCTCCTCCTCCGCCAAACATGGACTTCGAGGAAATTCTCCTGATAGCTTCCAAAGGATGAGGTGTCAACAATGTACAGAAAAGGTGTAGTTTGGCAGTGGAGCCTCCCAAGAAAGACCCAAAAGTTAAAGGCACAAGCTTTTCTTAGAAGGAAAGAAGAAGAGGTTAGGTGAAAATCTTTAGAGAAGGAAAGGAGAGAGGAAGAACTAGTGAAGAAGCAAATTGAGCTCAAACATGACAAAAAAGCAAGAGCTGTGGCCAAAAGGACTAAGGATAATTTCCATGGTTACAGTGGGATTCCTACTGAGGAAAAGCCAAAGAAGAGGCAGGCAGTGGAAAGGCATATTAGCCAGGGAATAGACCGAGACTATGAGGTGGAAGAAGAGAATGAATTCTTTGAACACAATTAAGCCGAGTGAGAGCAGGAGTATGAAGAAGAGCAAGAACCTCCCAAAGCTGAAAGCAAACCAGAGGTCCCCCTTAAAAGTGCCCCACCACCCATGAACTTCATGGATTTACTGAGGCTGGCTGAGAAAAAGCAGTCTGAACCAGTGGAGATCAAGGAGTAAAGAAATCAGAAGAGCAGCCTATGACTGCAGAAGAACTTAGGAAGTGTAAATTCTTTTAATGAAAGCATAGGAAAAAGAAACCAGAGACAGATGCAAAACTACTTCCAACTGTGTCCAAAAAGGTACCCTCTCAGAAAGAAAGTGTGGGCACAAAACTTAGCAAAGGTTCTGGGGTCAGGGATCCTTCTAAGGGAGTCCCCTTTCCTCATCCTGAGAAAAAATCCAAACCCAGGCCAGGCAATGAGAAACACTCAGCTTTGTTTTCATCCAAATTCATGCCAGAAGACCAAGACTGGATCTGACACTAGCTTCCAATCCTTACTTTGGGAGGGTCATGACAGACTTGTTTTTAATGGAACTAGAAAGCCCCACTCCAGCACTTATTCACCAAGTGTCTCAAAGACTTTTGTTAGTGGGACTCAGAAATCTGTTACTGAGCACAAAGCCAAAAAATCTCTTTCTCACCCAAGCCATTCCAAGCCTGACTCAATGGTTACCCCACACAATAAGGCTAAGAGTCTAAGTGTCAGGCAGCCAGGCAACAAGTCAAACTCAGCCCTGGGCAGCCCAGCACAGGAACTACTTGCCCACATAATTCTGGCCCTGTGCCCAGGCACCAGAATAGCAGCTCCAGCTCAGGACCTGAGCTATCAGTCAGTGGGACTAAGAAGCTAGCCAGTGACACACATCCCTCTAGGCGGACAGTCTGTGGTATAAGTGGCCCTGGACGACCTGCAAGCAGCTCAAGCAGCCCTGGACAACCTATCAGTGGCTCAGGCAGTTCTGGGAGACCTGTGGGCATCTCTGGAGGCCCGGTGAGGCCTATAAGCAGTCCACATGACCTTTGACAACTAGTGAGTGGCTCAGGTCCCCCTGGGTGGTCAGTTGCTGGCCCTGGGCGATCCATAAGTTGTTCAGTTCCTGGAAGACCAGTTAGCAGCTTAAGGGCTTAACAAATAGTTAGTAGCCCAGGTCCCCCCCACCCCCGACAAAGCCCAAATGTACTGTTGTCTCAGAGACAATTTCTTCTAAGAATATTATTTGCCAGTCCAACAATGGACAGATGAATGGAATGAGGCCTCTTCTATCTGGCTACAGATCTGCCTACGGTCCTCAAAGTCTTCCCTTCCCTACTGGTTACAAAAGGCAGCAAAAAAAGAAGCAGAAGAAGAAAGAGGAGGAGGAAGAGGAAGAGGAGAAGAATATGACTCTGAAATGGATGATTTTATCGAAAATGAAGGGGAGCCTCAAGAAGAAATATCCAAACACATTCAGGAAATCTTTGGCTATGATCAAAAACAAAAATACAAAGATGAAAGTGATTATGCCTTATGTTACATGGAGAGTAGTTGGAAAGAACAGCAGAAGGAAGAAGCAAAGAATTTAAGACTAGGTATGCAAGAGGACCTGGAGGAAATGAGACGTGAAGAAATGATATGTCCAAAGGCCAAGAAGTTGAAGAGATGTTAGCTGCTGTTGTGATTTATTTTTGTGAAATTCTGGGAACACCGCTGCAAGGATTTTCCTGCCTTCAGACTGAATAAGCCCCCTGCCCCTTATCCTTTCAGATTTATACTTGGGTACTCAAGGAGAAGGAATGCATACCGTCATTTGCAGGCTGACATTTGAGCATAAAGTATTTTCAAATATTCCAGGGTAAAATCTGTAATGCAGATGATATAATGCCTGCTATGTGCTCTTAGGAAGTTAACTATTCATAGATACTAGCCTTGATCCTGATGAGCTATGCACTCTAATGTGGCCACTCACCAGGCAGCCATCTTTTTATTATTCCTTTGCTACTTTAAAGGGTTTAAGAATAACAAATTTTGACTCCTTACAATTCGTTGATGTGTGAGAAGGGCACTATCCAGATCCTAATCAAACTTACTGTCGTTATAAGGAACCTGGCCCTTCCGTGGATGTTGCCAGCAATAAAGTGACCTATCTTATGTCTAGATTGAGAACTAAAAATGTAGAGTAGGCTTTATAATTATCACATGGATATCATCCTTGTGGCTTTGAAGTACAAAATAGAATAAATTATATTGCATTCTGCATTATTTGTGTATTGGATGCTAAGTATTCTTATTTAGCTTAAGCAATTAATAAAAAATTTCCAAGTTAAAACACAAGTTATGCCAGTATAAAAATATTTTTTCCAAATTTTCCTTTCATATTTACTGTTTTGTTGACTATAGTGTAAAATAGTCAAGGTCACTGTGATGAGTTTATTTTAAAAAATTCATTTTTATGTTGAAGATATTGCCCATATTTTTCAAATTATGCACTGCAAAGAGATTTATTCTCCAGAGAGAAAAGGGTGTTTCCTGTACTGGTGTCTTACTGGGCTATGGAACTTTCATTTTTATCTTTCCTTAAGTCAGCCCTATAGACTTTATATCACTTAAGTCTCAAGTTCAGGTAGTTCTAGTCAGGCTGACCTAAGACAAGGCTTGAAGGAAGCCAAGTCTCAAAGGACAGTCAGCAACAAAAAATGAGTTATGATGCTAGAGAGCATTTGTTCTTGACTCTAAATGTGGAGGCTTGGAGGCAGTCAGAACTAACCTTGTAGGGCAATTCTACAATAAGTGTTGTGGCTATCTTAAGCCATTGGACAGTGAGGAATAATAATAGGAAGTAGGAGGGGTTGATCTACAAGGAATCCTTACTCTTCAACAGGTCCAGATATTTGGTATATTTTTATCCATGAAATTTATTCAAGTTTGGGTATTATACATTACCATTGTTAGCCTTCCATAATGGGACCACATGACCCAGTCTTTAAGATTAACTCATTTTTAATTGGATTTGCAAGTGCAAGGATTTAATTTAAAAGTTGAAAACCATGAAAGGTATCTTAATCACTAGGCATAGACTCCCTAACTCGTCACAAAGAAATCCTACTGACTTCCTCTCATCCATCTCAAATACCATCAATGAAATTGATTTAAGGGTAGTATAATGTTTCATTTAAGAAAATAGATTTAGAACATTATTTTCTTTGTTACCATGTATGTGCTTTCCTCCTTTCAAATGGTTTTCTTAGATATATTTTTGAGAATCATTAAATATTTTTTCAATATTCAGACTCTGAAGTCTATAATTTCAATCAAGTGCTTGTCATAGCCAAAAGATTTCTGGTGGCTTATAGTTTACTAGCTTTTAATGATATGGTACTGTTATTTGTACAGAAAGGAACCACTGTGCTAGATTCAAGTTCTAGAACATGGTAGGAAGGGTCAGGTTGTAATGTTTGTCACTTCTGAGTATGTGTCTTCTATAATAGATGCTAATTTACATCAATATTGTAAAGGCATACTTCTGTGAATTATTTTTTTTAAAAAGGAATGTTATCAGGCTTTCAAATTAATGCTGGCCTTGTTTCCAAATCCTGTCTTCCATTTTGTCCTTCTTTACTTCCTGACCACCCTTAAAAAAGTTCTCAAGCCTTTGAAGAAACTGGAATAGGCTGTCACTTTATCAAGGTTTACAAATGAAATGCTTGATAGTTAATGTATTCTCTGTTCTGATTTTCAAGATCTTCTTAATTCAGTATTTGAAGATGTGCCTTTTATTGGGTAATATTAATTCACAAATGTAGTAGTGTTATTCCACACTTGTAATGTTACATGATCATGAGTATGGCAGTCTCTAACACAAATTATGTATAAGGAGCATAGTTTTCATAAAACTCATGGCTCTGATTGCGCAGTCCCATTTGCTTCTGATGTTGCTATATCAAAGCAAAGGGCACTTTCTTTTAAGGCTACTTTCAGAACTTGTCTTTGTATTTTCTCTAAATTATAAATGCAGGTATGTCCATTTGAAGGCCAGGGTACCACATGTCACAGGCAGCCTTACATGTATGCCATGAGAATGTTCAAAGACTATTAACAACAACAACAAAAAGTCTATAGGAACTCAAAATTCCATTTTTAAATAATCCCTAAGATTTTCTCCAAGAAATGAATTGTTATTTTGCATTTTGTAACTTAAAAAACAGCTATTGGTACATTTCTGAGATATAACAGATGACCACAACATTTTTGGAAAGAGAATAAATATGTGAAGAGAGACTGGTTGTTTTATTTTTTGTGTAATGATTAGACTGTGAGTGGATGTGATGAAATAAATATTCAGTGTTTAGTTGTGATTAAGAGTGGAATATAGATTTCTTTGGAGTTATTAAATCTATCATGTCTTTTACATATTAACGAAAACCTTTTACATTACTTAGCTTGTTTTCTGGTGCTGTTGGCCTGCAAGAGAATATACTTTTACATATACAGGTGAATGTTTTGCAATTTATGTCTACAAAAAATTGTAAGCATTAAAATATTTTATTGATTAAAAAAAGGAAATTAAGTCAGTCAAATAGTTATTTACCCTCTATTCTGTATTCATTGTAGTATTATTCATAATAGCCAAGATGTGGAATCAACCTGTGTCCATCAATGGATGAATGGACTAAAAACGTGCTATATATTACATACATTAGAATATTATTTGGCCTTTAAAAAGAAATAAATTCTTATTTGTGACAATATGGATGAACCTTGAAGACACTGTGCTAAGTGAAATCAGTCAGGCACTGAAAGACAAAAAGTGCATGATCTCACATATATGTTATAATCTAAAAAAGTCAAACTCATAGACAGAGAGTAAAATGGTGATTGCCAGTCTGGAGGAGGAGGAGTGGATGCTGAGATGTTGATCAAAGGGAACACAGTTTCATTTAGATGGGATAAATAAATTCTGGGAGCCTAACATAACACATGGTAACAATAGTTAAAAATAATGTATATTTGAAAATTGCTGCAGGTGAAATGAGACGTATGTGAAGTACTAGGTGTGTTAGCTATCTTAATGTGATCATTTCACAACGCATGTATATATCAAGACGTTGTGCTGTCCACTGTAAATGCATGTAATTGTTTGTTGGGAAAAAAGAACTAGAAAAAGAATATAATGTAATATGTAATATTAGTGTATGATATTGATAACAAGGGAAACAGGATGGATGTGTAGGAACAGTGTATGACCTTGTAGCTTTTCTGTAAATCTGAAATTATCCTAAAATGAATATATTTTTTAAATCAAACAAATTATGGATATACATATTTAGTTTATATTGAGAGTCTCTTATTTAAAGTCAGAAAGAAAGATAAAGAATATTAAGGAAGTCCCATCTAAAAAACTGTGCTCTAGAAGATGTGCAGTGTCATCACATGATAGATGAAGTATGAATATTGCCATTTTGCTGAAGGGGCCACAAGAGTCCGAGTTTTATAGACTTCACTTCTTTGCGTGAATTGAATTTTCTTGAGAGCTTATTTGGGTTATACACCTGTCTGCTAATAATAGGATCATCTCAGTTTTTAAATTTAAGGTCAATCATGTATGTATTATTAGATGCTGAGTTCAGGAACTTTTTGCAAGTAAATGATCCAGCAAAAATATTTATGCAGCAATGTATTTGTGTCTCTTGGTCACACCTTCAGGATCTCATGGTTAAATGAGGTCTGTGTTTAATGGAGTCAAAGATTTTCCTTTACCTCACAGCTCAGCCTTGGAAGATAGAAGGGCAGTATGTTTGTGTGTGTGATGTGTGTACATGCACACATGCTAACACCAGAAGCACAACATTTTACCAAGAAAACTGACAGAAATTTAAAGAATTTTTAAAAGTCAGTGTTTGCCTCCTTGGTTTTGCTTTAGTAGAAGCAGTGCTGGAAACAATCACTGGTGTTCACACGTTTTAAAGAGGGTGAATTTTATTCACCAAGTTGCTTTTTATACCCAGGGCCTGTGGTTGTCTTTTGGAAGAGTGAAACATTTCACCAGAATGTTTTCACCTCAGTGTAGCTCTGATGGCAGAAGAAAGCCCACCAGATTATGTCCTTTGATTTTCACAGATTTTGTTCTGAGGATCTGGCAATGGGTGTGGTTTCACACTTCAGAAATACATGGTGGCCAAGAGTTATTTTGGAATTTTCTTTTAAAGCTTCATCAGCTTTTGAGATACACTGTGTTGCTGAATTCATTCCTTAGTCATTCCTTACCTGACATGAGATGTTTAATCTTTTCTAAATAAGTTGCTTTTAAAGTCAAAAGCCACATTGTCAACAGCAAAAGCCTTAAACACCAGCCAAACATTTGAATGGTTTGACTAATGACTGCGAAGTCATGAAAAACACCCTTTCTACTCATAGAATATGGTTGTGAATCATAAAATGTTAGACATAAATTCTGCACAATTGAGATCACTGGCTTTGGAATTAGAAAAACCACTCAAGTCTCTTGTCTGCCTCCTGTTAGCTATGTGAACTTGGGCAAATGCCTCTTCCTTCCCTGCACCTCAGTTTTCTTACCTGCACAATGAAAAAGAAAAACATTGCCTTAATGCATAGACATGAACTGATTTTAATATTAAAGGAAGTGACTTGGTGCTGTGCTTTTCAGAGCAG